CTTCTTTTCCAAGTGGGCCATACATTTTTCAGTGTAAAAAGTTGCACAGTAATTAATGTTTAATAAATCTATTGAAACACATCTTGGAATACTGAAAATTCTTACAAGTACTTAAATATATTTTGGCCTGATATCATAAAGCTTCCAAACAGGTTTTTGTTTCTTTCCTTTCATACAAGTTGTCTAGTAATTCCAGACAGCTGGTAGCATTATTTTAAGAAACAGTCCTTAAGCTTTTCAGCAACGTAATCCCGAAGGAAGTACCAGTATATAGAAATAAAATCATGTTCAGATAAACCTCAACAATTGGTTATTTCATTTTATAAAATTGCAAAGAGCCGAGGTTGCGCAGTGGTTAGGGTGCAGTACTGCAGGCCACTTCAGCTGACTGTTATCTGCAGTTCAGCGGTTCTAATCTCACCGGCTCAAGGTTGACTCAGCCTTCCATCCTTCCGAGGTGGGTGAAATGAGGACCCAGACTGTGGGGGTGATATGCTGACTCTGTAAACCGCTTAGAGAGGGCTGAAAGCCCTATGAAGCGGTATATAAGTCTAACTGCTATTGCTATTGCAATGATAGCAATAGAAAAATAATTGGCAGCTGCTTTTTCCAATATGGCTTTCCAATTTGTTTAGCCTACTGTCTTAAAACTTTCTAGAAGTATCTACATAGGTTACACTGTCGGCCTACATAAACCACAAGATGTTAACTTCTTATGAATACTACTAAATGATGTAAAATATAAGCAATTCCAAGTATGTTCAATGGGATGTTGTTCCAGCAACAGGCTTACATCTACAACATTAGCTGTAAACCTTAAATTTTAGTAACATGCCATGATTCTAGGCAGCTTTAATAGGAAATAGCAAAACCTGCCATAGGAATTTCATTTTATTGTTTTTCAAGATTTACTTCAACAAATAAGTAAATCATTATATACATACCTCCTCAGGAGTGATAACTCCAGTTTCTTTAAACTTTGATTCCTGAAGAAAAAAAGATGTCTGTAAACATTTAAAATCAAAGACTTTAAGATAATGAAAAGAAAATGATAAGGCTTTTAACCTGTACTCATTCTATCTGGCCAAATATTTCCTTAGTTTAACTTTGTAACAGTCTTTATCAGTGGTAGTCAACCTGGTCCCTACCACCCACTAGTGGGTGGTTCCAGCTTTCATGGTGGGAGGTAGGGGTTTTCTATAACTCTGCTTTATAAATTTTATAAAGTAAAGTTACTTCCCTACTTTATAAATCACCATTAATATGGAACCGGTGGGCAGTTAGAAAATTTTACTAAAAGAGGTACAAAAGTCGGCGGTAGGTATAAATAGGTTGACTACCCCTGGTCTATACTTTGAAACTTTTCCCAATAGCCCTTGTCTACAATAGAATACATAGAACAAGAGGTTATTCACGCGTACTTGAACCACAGAAATCAATTAGTTTTTTTGTCTAAGAACCCAGTAATCACTGTTTTTACTGCTCATATAACAACTTTTATATTAATGAAACATAGATATGACAATTTAAGTTTTTTCACAATGAGGGGAAACTACTTTTACATAAAAATAAAACACTTTACAGGCTTTACTACTGTTTATACTAATTATCCATATTTCTTGAAATTTTGGCTCAGAAGGAGATTAGACATTTTATAAAGTGTCAGAATCACCATACTTGAACTTTCAAGGCAAAAATATCTGCTCTCTTGTATTGCCACATAATGAATTTCTGAAAATGCACATTGCCAAGAAAGTGGCATTTGATTTTAATAACAAGGCAGACAGATAAGGAAAAATAAAATACAACTAACATTTAGAAATGTCTTTTTAAAGAGCCCTGTTGGAAAGCATTTTAATTTTCTTTAATACTCTATTATCCAAAAGAACTATTTCACATTATTCAAATAATAGTATGGTAGAAGATTCTAGAGATATATTTGATAAGAGAAGAAAAATCTGTGGATAACCATTTGTTGCTGAACCACAACTTTTAACATTTCTCACCATTGGCCATCTAGGCCAGGAGAGCATTATCTTTAATTTATTATTTTTAATTCATTAACATCTGGAGGGCACCAAATCCCCAATCATGTTTTAGGGCAGTGGTTCTCAACCTTCCCAATGCTGTGACCCTTTAATACAGTTCCACATGTTGTAGTGACCCCCCAACCATAAAATTGGTGTCTCGGTTCCTAAGACCATCGAAAATATGTGTTTTCCGATGGTCTTAGGCGACCCCTGTGAAACGGTCATTCGACCCCCCAAAGGGGTGCCGACCCACAGGTTGAGAACCACTGTTTTAGGGCAACTGATTAAAAGGAAGTACTTGAGGAATTATAATAAAGTTTGTGAGAAAGTTAAATAAGGGTAAATTTTTGGCTTTAATGTTTCAAATTTATTCAATTTGTCCCGAGGCAACCAAAAGAATAACAGCAGTTAGCAACAATATACAGCAGTACAATAAAACTTTCACAGTAAAAGTTAAGATCAATGTTGAAAATATAATTCAGGGACGTTCACTACACAATTATGTTATCTCAGTCATTTTAGCCCTCTCCACTGAAACAATTCCATTTTTAACTCTTTCAGAATATCAGGAATGACACCTGATATCCAGCAAGAAACTGTTCCATAGTGTGAGTGTAGGCACCAAACTAAAGATAGACTGCTTTTCACACTAAGTATGTGTGTGTGTGTGCGCGTGCACGCATGTGCATTAAAGATTTCTCCCAAGGCACAAATGCCAGGCATGTTAATTTTGGCTGGAAATGTTTTTACCTTTAAGTTTCACCTTACACAGTTTTTTCCTGTATCTTTATTGTTAAAATATTAAAACATTGTACTTTGCTACCTTAATAAGCCTTTTTCTACCTCCACTTATCTACCCACTGTACAAGAATCAAAACATTTTTAATGTAAAGGATCTGTGAATTATTAATATATTCAAAATAATTGTATTTATTCCGTTGCAATTTTGGCCCATGTTTAAAGAGACGTAAGATGAAAGTATAAATATCTTTATAAGGAGTGTGGCACAAGAATGAGTAGATAACATTGACATGCTCATGCATTCATGTTATATGCTCACTCCAAAAATATACATCTTTGTTCACTATTGTATCTTGTGACAAAATCCTGTGATGCCAACAATGCCTTTAGAGAATTTTGAACTAGAGAATGTTCAGATCCTTTGTTTTTCAACAGAAAATGCATATTTTAATTTTGCCTGGTAAGCCTATCAGACTCATTTTTACAGCCATTATTATTTTTTCTTTTTCCTAGATATAACTACTGCATTATCACTGATCTTTAGACACCGGTTCAGTTTGGAAAAAGTAGCAAGACCCTTGCCACTATTACAAAGGATAATTGAGCAAAATGGTCTCCCACCTCATTCCTTTCTGTGGGTGAGACAGAAAGAGTGAGAGAAACACTCAAGACATAAGGAACTAGTTCCTTTGGGCCACAGAATCCCAGGCTCTTGGGGGACTCCCAAGTCTAGTTAGGGGAACTCATATTCCTCCAAAGCAGCTAAATTAGAATTCCCAGATTTTTAAAATTTTATATTTTTTTCATTTGCCTGAAATTCTGCAAACTGTCCTCCATCAACAACTGAAGACCACAGATTCACCCCCAAGAATTCAAAAAATTTGAGAGCCCTCCCCACTGACAGAAGAAACATCTTTCCAAATCCTAGCATTCTTCAGAGCCACACATTATTATAACAGAATAACAAAGTTTGAAGGGACCTTGAAGGTCTTCTAGTCCAACCCTCTGTACAAGCAGGATATCCTATACCAGGTGTTCAAACTTGGGCAACTTTAAGACTTGTGGACTTCAACTCCCAGCTGGCTGGAGAATTCTGGGAAGTCCACAAGTCTTAAAATTGCCAAGTTTGGGGACCACCGCCCTATACCATTCCAGACAAGTGGAGACGGGGAGCTATAGAAATTTAATAGAAATTAAAGTTAACTTTGTCTAACTTTATATGCCAGCAGTTCCTTGAGGTTCTGAACAAGATCTGCAGCTAGTCCTCGACTTATGACCACATTTGAGCTCAAAATTTATGTTGCTAAGTGACAATACGATCAAGACAAAAAGTTTGGGAACAGGGAACTGAATCTTCCTTTCCCCTCCTCCCTTGTATAACCTTACACAGGCTTCAAAACTACTGCTTGTCTAAGTCTATCGGACTCCCAATTCCCACAATCGGCCCAGTCAAAGATTATGGGCTCATTAGTCCAAGTGGAAGAGGGCTATCAAGTAATAGATGTGTCACTGCCTGAGGCTCCTCCCCTCCCCATTTTGTTTCTCGATAGGCGGGGCCTCACCTTTAACACAGGTGTGAGGTATTCGGCCACCTCCAGCGCCTTTCCCTTCACCGTGTTGATGACGTTCTGCATGGTACCTTGTTTCGAAAGGGGGACAGAGAGGGGAAAGTGTCTGTCACCAACAGCCGACCCGCAAATTCAGCTGCGCCGTCGCTCTTCCCTCCTTTAGCCTTTCCTTCCGGGAGCTGAGAGCCAACAAGCGCTCCCCCCCACCGGCCCACTACCTTCAATGGGGTGGGGGGGAAGCAGGGAATCACGTGAATTCTCTTGACATGTGACCTGCTAGATATCCTCCCCGCCCTTTTTTTTCCGCCCGGCGGCAGCCTCAGAAACTGCGCCTGCGTGGGAATACAGACCTGAGTTTGTGGCTGAATCGCGTCACCCATAGATCTACGTCATTTGTACTTTGTTTATTTGGCTTGTGCGTCACAAGTCTCCAGGGTGGTATATCTACATTGACCCATGTGACCCACTTGCAGAGCTGTAAGGTAATGCTTAAATGGGTATCAGAGCAGTGCTCGACGGTACTCCTTGCCAGTTTTCGAAAGTCTTTAGGGTTTATAGGTTTCTTAGCTCTATGGATGCCGTTTCATTCGAGTCACTGCGCATGCTTTTCCACCGGGTGCATCATGGGAGAAAGGAGGCGGCTGGGAAGTGCCGGCTCGCCTTCTCAACTCTGCGCGTGCGTGCCTGAGCGGCAGGTAGACTAAGGCAAGGGGGCGATGCCCGCAGAGGATTCGCACCTGTCAGGTAACCAAATCTTTGGCTAAGGGTTTAGGGCGAATGGGATGGAGCGCTGCTCCTATGTGGCACAATTTTTTAAAGCCTGCTCTTTTGGAGGGAATTGCAGCTCCATCAAGAAGGGAAATGGGAGCTTCATCGTTTGATTCTCGCTCAGTTGTATGGGCTCCAGAGTCCTAAGCCAGAAAAAAGACGGGCTTTTTGGCAAACCATTGCATGTGCCAGGCTCGTGGTGGCTTCCAGTTGTGTCGGATTTCAGCCTCTATTACTTCCAGCTGGGGTAGACAGCTGTGCATCTGGAAGGCAAAGAATTGGTGCAGGGTGTTTTACAGTGGCTGAGGCTTGGTTCACACATGTTAAACCATCGTTTGATTGACTATCATTTGTTGTTTTGTCGATTAACTTACATTTCACTTGGTTTTCGCTGTGCGTAGGCTAAGATGTGAGCTGTGTAGCTAACTGTCTATTGAATAAACCCAATGTATCCAACAACCCACTGTTATAAATGGTCTTAGGTGTGATGGCTTGGTATCTCAATTGGCTAAATATAGCATTTCATTCACAACTATATTTGCAAAGCGCTGTGGTACAACAAGGATATTTCATGCCTCTTCACTACCATCTTCATGTTGGATCTTAAACCATTGGCTGCTTCTTTTAGACCAGTGGTTCCCAACCTTTTTTTGGCCATGTCCCACCTAGGTATCTTTAAAATCCTAATGCCCACCCTATGACATATAATTCTTACTTTACTCAAAAAGTGAACTCTACTCACAAGGAGGAAACATTAAAGACCATTAATTTGGTTTAAATAACGTTCAAATTGCCCCCATTAAAAATCAAACTGTCACCCTGTGGGACATGGACCCCACATTGGAAACCACTATTTGAGACAGTCTCAAGGAATTTATACCTTGAATGTAAATTGACACTGAGCATAAATTATTATGTACTACCGGTATTAATTATAAAAACTTATTGAAATCATAGGACAATATATTCTAGGTACGCATTTAAAATAAGTCTAACCTGTTGCCTTTTGAATTTTAGAGATAGTGCAGAAGTAATTATATTGAAACCCTTGTGTTAAAGAAGAAATTAATACTTTATTTCAGGTAATTTTTAAGAGTTGCTATAAAGATGTTGAGAGATTGCCTTTTGAGGTTGACCTCCCTTCATTATATGCTTGGCAACACATACAAAGGAAACGTGTATTAACTGAACAGTATGTCTTGCACTTTTATCCTGTGCTAAAGGGAAGCTTGGTGGGGGGTGTTGCATTTAAAATAACTTGTAGAATGAAAAAAGGCATGCATATTGTCCTCACCAAAGTCACACAAGCTAATACTACTTTTTGAGGTGGTAATAACAGAATCTCACAAGCCTGAATGCACTTCTCCCCCCACCCCTCTGCCCCTTTATCTTTGTGAGAACTAAAGAGGATTTTGTGGAAAATGCTTACTCAGATTACAGATCTGGGCTGGACTTCAGTTTCTTTTATCTTACCATTGTCTTGGTTACAGTTATTCATTCTGCCTATTGCATAGATAAACTCTTCCCTAAAAGCAAAACAAGACCTGTTATTGTCATTCAAGATATTTAAGATATAAATAAGATTTTCCAGCTCTATCTCAAAATCCTGGTAAAAAAGTTAGCTTCTCCAAACAATGAATAGTTCAGCAGTTGTATCATTTACTTTAGACTAAAACAAGCAAAGAGATATAACTGGGAAAAAAATATGAGATTATTTTAGCATATTTAAATATGATGAATGGTGAAACCAATACTTAATTTCTTTATTAACTAATATTCCTACTCCACTATTGTAGAAGATGATGCCTACAATTGATAATAAATTTCAGGAGAGTACTGTAGTGTGTTCGATTGCTTCAGTTGAAATGTGTTATTAAGTAAGGACTAAATATAAGATGCATCAAGATCAGGGAACATTTTTATTAATTTTATGGTGTTAGTACTATATTTAAATGGTTTACTAAAATAGTACTCAAGCATACCATAAATAAAGGCCACTAAATTTATGCTTAATGCCTCAGAAAAACATGCATTACAACACTTACTTTTATGCAGTTTGTGAAGAATCAAGCACTAAACAGCTTTCTGAGTAGTCTAACAGTAATAAATGTTATTTTAAAGGATGTACCTGATATAGTGTTTTGCTTTGTGGTTCAAAGTGCACTGACAACACAGCAACAGCATGGATTCCAAACGTTGCAGTCAGTCTGCTCGATGGTCCAAGTCAGCAATTTATACACTGCTTCTAGGAGGTACCTTTGTTACATTGGGTTCAAGTCGTATCCTTTTGATGAAATACTCTGTCAATGAAGGTATGTTGGAATATGTATTTCTGTATAGATACCACCAGAATTTGTTGGCATGCTCTTTGTTGGTCTATGACATGAAGTTAAAATAATTAGGTTTTGTGGAGTATTGATTGCTTTTCATAACTGTTTTTCAATATGAGTTTGGTTCCCATAGCCATTTTAGTAAATAATATATATTTCATATAGTCAGAAACTCTTTTGTGACATCAAATACAGCACTGAAGCACTTTCTGTTAGTGATCTAGTCAAGTGAAAAAGCATACAACACTACACAATTAGGATCAGAACACTAATTTATAGTACAAAAAAGCCTCAACTTTGAATTTCACTCCCTGAAACCCCTTATTTACCAATCAATCAGAATAGAACTGGAAGGGACCTTGGAAGTCTTCTAGTCCAACTCCTGCTCAAGCAGGAGACCCTCTACCATTTCAGACTGATGGCTGTCCAGTCTTTTCATAAAAACCGCCAGTAATGAAGCATCCACAACCTCTGAAGGCAAACTATTTCACTGGTTAATTGTCCTCACTGTTAGAATGTTTCTCCTAAGTATTAAAAATGTTAATACTAAAATATTTTAAAATACCAAATATTTTCCAAAAGAAGAAGATATATTTTAATTCTTTTTTTATGAAAAATTCTTACCTGGAAATAAAAGTGGAGATTTTCTTAAATACATCTTGTTGAATGTACATTTCTGCATTGGCTGCCTGTTGTAATATTTTTACTTTATTTAAAGTTAATATATGCAATATTCATGTGAGTTCTCTAAATATTTTTCAGATAATAAGTATGATTATCTTCCTGCAACTGTGAATGTGTGCTCAGAATTAGTTAAGCTCGTACTTTGTTTGATAATGGCTCTCTGGGTAATCAGAAAAGGTAAGCTGCTAGAGCTAAATTATTATAATATTTAGGTTTGAAGGATAAATTATATGTAATTTCTAGGGCATCTATGGCATATGTGCCGGAGGTGGCACACAGTGCCCTCTCAGCTGGCACGTGCGCCTTCACCCCAGGTCAGATTTCCATGGCGTTTCTTTCGCGAGCTTCTATTTCCCTGCAAATGATGAAGCTCATGAAAGAAAAATATATTTTCTTTGGAGAGGCTGGTAATCAATAAAAAATAAAGGAGAGGTAAAGTATATCATGAATTATCGCTGGAAAAATGAAATGAAAAATGGGAACATTAAGTTGGAGAAATTAAAAGGCATATTTTGAATATTGTATTATATTCTATTATAACAGAATCACATTAATTAATTTACTTACAGAATATAAATCCTAAATTCTGCAGATGGTTGAGGAATTTGAGATACTAAATTAAATTAAAATTGTTGCTTAAAAATGTCCGATATAAGTATGTGAATATAATTTATTTAGTGCTTAATGTTTTTATTCATAGTTGTTGGTTTTTAAATTATTAAATTTAAAATGTTAAGATAATTAAACTATATTTAAATTATTAAGAAAAAATAATTTTAAAAATTAAAAAAAGGTTATCGGAATAGAGAGTGTTTAAAGCAGCCTTCCACTTTACCACACAAGATGATTTAACACCCAAATGAAACATAAATTGTGTTTAATTTACAAAGAAAAAAAATTATAGTGATCATTGGTCAAAATTTCAATTTGAATATCATTCAAAATCTTTCTAAGAAAGACTGGTAAAGTTTCATATTTGTGTTTAATAAGGAAGCTTCCAATTTTAATTAAATGCATTGAACTATTTTTCATCTTCCTTCTTTTTCTTTTTTAGGAGGATATTCCCATAGTGGATTTGGCTGCAGCTCTTGGAGGCAATTGTATAGCTATATAAAGTGGTCAATTCCAGCTTTTCTTTATTTTTTAGATAATCTGATTGTCTTTTATGTGTTGTCCTATCTTGAACCAGTAAGTATCACTTCAGAAATGCAGAATAATCTCTATGTGTTCTAATGGAAAGCGAATATATCTTTATCATATTTAGTGCTTATATCAAATTTCAGTTATTTTAGGAGATTATAGGTAGGATTACTTCCTGCTGAATAGTATTTCAATAGTTGAGTTGATATTTTAGAGTTGTTATGTTCAGTATGAGCTATAATATAAGCAGAATACAAATTTCACGGGCTAGATGACTGTATTTAATTCTTAAGTTTTGTCAGTGCTTTCATAAATCAGACAAAAAAATCTGTATTGTAAAGGGTGTTTTCAATTGTTTGTACATAAGTTTGTGTATGAAGCATAACATATAAGTAATTCCAAGGAAATTAAGGTAAATGCTTTAATTAGAGCCAGTAAACTTTAGTTAACCAGAATCTATTGAACATTGGCTTAGAGTGAGAATAGGTAGTCCTTGGGTTACGATAATTGAGCCTGGAATTTCCATTGCTAAGTGAAGTAATGGTTAGATGAATTATCACCTGACTGCATTTAGTGACAGAAGTTCCCGTAGTCCTAGTTGCAGTTGTTAGGCCAGGACTATGCCATTGTTAAGACAGGATCTCATGCTTCTCCTGCCCTACCATGATCCTTTCTGCTTCAGCTTCCCATCTTTGCCCTATTCGCTGCCCTGTACTCTGTCATCACTTGCCTCTGCCGCTTACCTTTGCTGTCTTGGTCTCCCACTGCGGAGAAGGCATGCCTAGCTGAGGCAGCTGGTGGTGGGAGGGGTGCAGTGGCAGGATTAGGCTGCAGAGTGCACAATGGCTAAAAGGGCAGAAGAGGGGTGGGGGTGGGGGGAAGAGATGTGGGGTGGAGTTGAAGTGCACTCTGCAGTCATAAATGCGGGCAAAGCTGCCAAGCATCTGAATTTTGATCATGTGACCACAAGGGCCTTGGCAACAGCTGGAACTTTGAAGACTGGTTGTAACTACCATTCATTCAGCACTGTTATAACTTTGAATAGTCACTGAATGATCCGAGGACTACTTATAAGTATTTTGCATTTTTGATGCTTAGGAGTAATTTGGGGGTGCGTACATATTTTCATGATAGTGTCAAAAGTCTGAAGACAGTTTTACTTATAAGGACAAGAACAGTGTTGTAAGAAATAGGGTTGAATGTAGTTTTATGATTTATTAAGATGGGAATGAATGCTGGCTGCTTTCAATATGACAGACTGATTTCCATTTGCAAAAGAGATCTTTGATCTTCTCTGGTTGGTTCCATCCACTCCTCCACATCACATGTACATAACCTCAGGTTTGCCCTAGATCAGATTTGAGAGGAATCACGACTCATTTTGATTACCAGTAGGTTCAAAGGAGGGAAACTATTTCTCACATTCTTCTCACTTTCTGTTTCTACTCAAATGGAAATCAAGATTTTCTCTATAGAATATCATATAGTGAAAGTCATAAACTGAACAAATTATGATTATCTCACCAAATGTCCTTTCATTAATTGGAATCTGCCATTCAAGATGAAATATATGAAAAGAGTATCTCTTGTCATTTATGAACACCTCTAATGGCAAAGAACCTTCCATGGACAGAAAGAAAGCATTAAAACATTGGTCAATAATTTGGGAAATAAATGTTAAGGTTTTGTTTTTCTGCTTGATTCTATGAAATATAGGAATGCTTGCTTTCAGGACCTCTCTAGATAGTGAGTTGGTTTTTTAAAATAAAAGTGCTGTTTAGCTCAATAAAATTTGGTTCCACAAACCATCATGCATTAAAGACATAGTACACTCGTGGATATCTTATTTTTAGGTTGCATTGGACTTGTAACATAATATCTCTTCTTCTTTTTCTAGGCGATGGCGGTTCTGTTCTCAAATTTTGTTATCATAACAACAGCTCTTCTATTCAGAATAGTGCTGAAGTGAGTAATTATGGAAACATGTTATTTTTTGTCATTTCTTTGTTTCCTCAAAGTTCTCTTCTGAAGCAATTTTAAACAAGGCTCTAAAGGTAATGAAAATTAAAAGCACACCCAAAATGATTAATAATATTACTACTATGTCTAATAATACTAATAATACTACTATTGTCATTTGTTAATGAATACATAGCTGTTGAGTTTGATGTATTTTCTGTGGTTTCATTTTGTTAATGAAATGACTCAAAAGGCAGTCCTAAATATGTTAATCTTATCAAACTGGCTCATATTTGCATTTGCTCTTCCAAATGGTTGTTTTCAAAGACATTACATTCTAATATTTATTTACATAATGTAGGGTATTGTTAGAAGAACAATAGCTGCCCATAGCTGTCTGGAACTGCAAGATGGGGAGCATATAAATTTAATAAATAAATAAATAAGTTAAAGAACATTGGTACAGCTTCAGTAGGTACAAAATAATTCAGTGTGCAGAGTGAATCATCCTGTTAGATATAAGAGGCATTGTAAGCATTTGGCTTTCAATATGATTGCCCAAAGAATTTTTCCTCATATGACACTAGAACAGAAGTCACACTACTGCCTTAAAAAGTTAACTCTTTTCCTCCCTTGCTTATTATTTGTGCTTCTTTGAATCAACTTACATCATTTTTCTTCTCCATGCAGGCGGCAGGTCTCCTGGGTGCAATGGGCCTCTTTGCTGATTCTGTTCCTATCTATTGTAGCTCTGACTGCAGGGACAGGAAGCAATGAGCATAGCTTGGCTGTGCATGGATTTCATCATGACATTTTTCTCAGCCATTCAAACAGTTGCCTGCAGTATACCAAATCAGAAGAAGAATGTTGGGGCAAAGAGAACTGCACTCTTAGATGGTCCTTCCCTGGCTTTACCTGGAATGTCACAACTACGGCAGGACCCATGAAAACAGTTCGTCTTGGACTAGGACATCTGCTCATCCTAGTGCAGTGTTTTATTTCAGCATTAGCCAACATCTACAATGAAAAAATACTGAAAGAAGGAGGCCAATTCAGTGAAAACATCTTTGTGCAGAATACCAAGCTGTATCTCTTTGGAGCTATGTTTAATGCTCTGATGCTAAGCTTCCGCCCTGAAAACAGGCGCCGGATAGAGTATTGTGGTTTTTTCTATGGCCACAACATATTCTCCGTGGCCCTTATTTTTGTCACTGCCTTCCTTGGGCTCTCCGTGGCCTTCATTCTGAAGTTCCGAGACAACATGTTTCATGTTTTGACTGCACAAGTTACAACAGTGATCATCACCACTGTGTCAGTTTTTGTATTTGACTTTAAGCCTTCCATGGAGTTCTTCTTGGAAGCACCTGTAGTTCTTTTGTCTATATTTATCTATCACTCCAGCGGCCCTCATTGTACGGAACACACTGTTCAGTGGGAAAGGGGCAAACATAATGGAGGTGCATGGGAGCGCTCTAGTGGGGTAAGGTTTGAAAGGTTTCCTTTATAGATATTCTGTGGGCCAATTGATTTCAGTGCAGACCTCTGATTGTGATGTGAATGTAAATGTTTGCCATCATTGTCAAAATATCATACCGTTAGTAGTTTGACTATTTTTGAACTCATGATGGTCTTAGCATCCCTAGGGTCATATAAACATGTTTCCAGCACTTGATAACGGAGGAATTTTTACAGTGGTTGCAGAGTCCTCGAGTCACATGATTGCTGTTTGCAAACTTCACAACCGGCTTTCAACAAGCAAACCCAATGAGGAAGCTGGCAATGAGTCTCAGGTTGAGCTCACATGACATCACACTTAGTGACCGCAGGTGATTTATTCAATGGCTGCAGTGGAGCTGGTGTAAATTGGTTGTGGTCATGTCATGTTTCACTTAATAACTGTGTCACTTCGCGATGGAGTAGTCGGACCCTGTGGTTGTTAAGTGAGGATTACCTATACATGTGTGGTTCTGCTTCCTTTATATTTGTTTGCTTATTAGAGTGCATCCAAATGATATGCTAACTTCTACAGTTTGTTATGAATGCATCCAATTAAGTTAGTTATGGCCATATGTAGCTGTTGAAAAAAAGCTGTACATATAACTGGACGCATTCACAGCAAACTATAAAGGAAAGTCATGCTATGTTGAAACATGTTGCTGGGCAGTCCTGGTAAAGTAGTTCCTGCACTCTTAGAATGTAGTAGAAAATACTGCTATTTTCTTCTGCCTATTTTGAAAAATTGTTCTTTTTTTTTGAAACAGCAGAGAAACACTTCTATGTGCTGATCCAAAGAGCTACTGCTCTTTGCAATAAAGGATGTGGTTCATTCAGAAAACTAGAATGGAGGTTGTGCCCTTGCTGGAAGCTGCTTAGTCTTACTGCGGTATCCCGCTATGAGCCATTTCTTTCCTTTGCATTTCCTATATTTGTGTTCCCTAATCACAATCACACTAGATTTGGGATGTGCATCTCTCTAGGATCCAGAAACATTTGGCGACATGAAATCAAAGCATTTTGGGGCATTCCATTTTGTCGCAGGTTTTCAACTTAAAATCCTAGTGTCCCAAGAAGTTTACAATAGTATAGTGTAATTTAAAGGACATTCTAAAGGAATATTTTGTATTTTTCAGATACATTCCTTATTAACATTAAAGTGTATTTTTAGAATAGCTTTGAATGTATAAAGTTCTTTTTTTAATGTATTTGTGGCTATTTGCTTAGCTTTCTATTGAATTGAAGTGATTTTTTAAAAAGATTGAACACCAGAGGGCACAAGTGACAAACAAGGTGCACTTATGATGTGTTCATGGCTATGCTTCAAGCATATTTGAATAAATATGTAGATTGTATGCAAAAGTTAATATATTAATGTGTATGTATTTGTGAAAGTAAATATATATAATTTTCATGTGGATTTGTAAATTCATTAAGCCTAAAAAAGCAACAATTTTTTTACTAACTTTCTTTTGGCTTCACTTGAAAAGATTCAGAATTGAATTTATTTGGTTTCTCTTTTTTCCAAATTTTTGCCTGGTGCCATTGCAAAAAATATGTAATATACATTTAATAAATGTATTTGATGAACATTTGACAAGGTCAAATTCCTGCTCTTTCTACGTGGGTAAATATTTTGCATGGCATATAAAATACATAATTGTTATGAAAGAAGAGAACGATGCTTCTCAAAGTGATTGATTAAGAAGGATTTAATATTGTGCAGATGTATATATTGCAGGATCAGGCCTTCATAATGCACTAAATTGTATTTATTAGTTATGACATAGTTGTGTGACAAGGATATAAAAGATTGGTGCCTCTGGCTCATGAATGGCTCACCAGTAACTTTTTTTGCAAGTTCAAGATCCTATACTAGAATTGACCGAACTGTCTAGTGGTAATTTGGAGCAATAACGTATGAACTCTCCCAGTTAGGATCCTGGTAGAGTTTCTAGTCAACAAAAGTTGTACTTCCTATCTCTGATATAATTAACAAAGGTAACTTAAATTGCAATCCAGTTCCAATGAAAGAAACACTATTACAGGACAAGGACTAATGAAGTTCTACTACCACAATAGAGCCAATACCAAAAGTAGCTATGCTTCAAATTATGGTAAACATTAGACAAATGATGTAATCTATCCATTTAAGGACTCGTTTATTAATTTTTCACTCATCTTCCCTTTATTTTCTATAGGATGGAGAAGAACTTGAAAGACTCACCAAACCAGGCAGTGATCATGATTCAGATGAGGAGGCCTTATAGCAAATGGTGGTCACAACTAAAATTTGGGGGAGATCGGCTGGACGTCCATACCAAGTAGATAATGGGAGGAGGGCTTTGCCAATTCACAAAATATCTCCTATGAGTAACATAATCAGGCATAAAGCACAAAATTACTAGAATGTAACCAGCAGTCCTTCACCCCAACCCAATCATTCATGAGTTTTCTGTTCCAACTCTTCCATCTGGTTGTGGAAGGCTCTTTGCCAACATAGAATGTGAGGGCAGGAAACTTTTTCACAGTGGAAGTGGTGGAAATCTCTTACTGTTTTCACTGAGGTGGGATTTTTTTTTTTTTAAAAAAAAAAAGTTCTGCTAGATGATATTTTAACTACTCACCAAACAAAGGGTATTAGAGTGGGATTAGAAAAATGAATGGAGGTTATAATTTCTCCTAATCCTCATGACTATGCACTACTAATGTTGAAGACCATACACCTCTTGAGTATTAAATGCAATTGGAATTTTGGGGAGATGTACATATTCTTGCCAACTGGATGATAGCAGGAAAGTTTGCCTATTTACAAATTACTATTCACATAATCAGTCCTAAAGCACTGATTTACTAGAATGCTATCAAAATATTAATTGCTGGAAATTATTGCAGGGCAATCATTGTCCTTTTCTTCTGATAGTAGACTTCCCATAGGCAACTAGTAGGTCATTGTTGAAAATAGGATACTGGAGCAAACAGAATTTTTATGTGATCCAGCAGAATTGCTCATGCTTCTGTGTACTTGATCTTCTAAAATGAAGATTTATTTTTGCAGCAAAGAGTCATTGGAATTCAGACGATTTGGCTGCAGAAGGGAAGCATCATTTTGAACCATGTATTTTGAGAAAGCTGGGGTTTTTTTTCCACCTTAAAATAAAGAGACTGGAGTGCTAATGCTGACAAGATATCTCAGTTCAAAGATGATGTGAGAGAAGAATTTAGTGATGGAATTATGGAAGCTACCATTTTGTGGAAATCCAGAAGCAAAGTCCTCAAAATATTGCATACCACAAAGATAAATGGTAACATTTCTTATGTGTAAAATGTACTTTACCCTTTAAGCTTCGGAAAATATTGTTGCCATCATGTGTTGTATGCCTTGGGTACCATGTAAATCATCAATCTTTTTATATGACTACCCCTGTGATATCCAGTGTTAAACTCTGCATATGTCTGAGCCTTAAAATTACAGTAATTAAGATACCATTTGAATATGAAAACCCATATTTGGGCACCTAGTATTTCTTCTAAATGCTACCATCACAATTGAGATGAGTTATCCAGCTGATGGATCTATTAAATGAATAGGAAATTAATAATATTACCTTCTAGCCATTTTGGACATTTCTGTACAATATGGGTACTATTTTTACTTTTGTTACATGAAAATAGATGAATTGTGTATTTGAGCATAAAATTTAAGATTACTTCTTTCAAAATATACTAACCGGATCATCCTTCCAGGATAATGCAAAACAGGATCTAGAAAGATATATTGTTCCACGTATTTATTCATTCTTAGCCAATGTAGTTAAAGGGATGAAGGGAATTGCACTCTTAACATCTGAGGGTTGGGTGATACTTCTAGTATAAACCATGTAACACTGGATAAAACTGCATTTTACATGCATGTTCACAAGCTGTGTGTTCCAAAAAAATTAATTTCCCTGGTAAATAAGTGATGTGCAACTATCCCATGTTGTTGCTATAAAGATACTCCATCTTTTCTGGCTAATTTATTCAGTTACTATCCTTGATGGTGAATTGCAATCCAATAATATGTGGAAGTCAAGAGTTTGGAGAAGAATCTTATGGCATGTGGGCAAGGAAAATTTGTAATCCAGTATTTCTTAACCTTTAATGGATATTTTAAACAGGCCATCTTTTATATCGGGTAATGCCTTTAAGATTTTGGCATATCTAGGTTATGTACTAGGAATGTCAATTCCTTAAAGAAAAGTTATCTACCCTATAAATGTTTCCTAAGCTTTCAGCTTGGAAGTAGCAAATTGGAGTGCCTCCCTTTGATTGTCTTTGATATTCAGTCTTTTGTACACATTCATGTTTGTGTTAAGTTCCATAAAAGGCAAAAGAAGTACAGGCATAAAATGCAGTGCAGCATAGAAAGTTTGTGCTGATATATATTTAAAGGTGTTACAATATTTTGCATGCAAAATATTCTGTGGATATGATAGAGAAATTTCTGTTTTTCCAGCATTGAGATTCAGTTTTGGAGTGGAAATGTATAAAGAAAATGGTACAATTGTATTTAAGACATTTAGCAACTGTCACATATAGAGAATTCTAAATTATATAAAACAATGCTTGAATTGTGATGTGAAGTTTCACTTCAGTTTAAATTTCAAGTTTAAGATTCATTTGTAAAGATGTCTGCAGGGGCAAGAATTAATATTGAGAAATTATTGGAAGAGGAAAGTATGAAAATGCTAGGGAAATATTCCAATCATGGTTATTGTGTTGATATAAGGTGGTTCTATTATTTGCTTTCATAACATCTAATTGATATTTTTCTGTAATGTCGCTACCACACTGAAACCTGGTATAATGAAGTATCCTTTTGACCCTGCTTTATCTTATGTTTATTGTATTTATTCAGAAATACTGTTTGAAGTAAGGATTTCTTTTACCAACTTTATTGACGCAAGTATCCATTGTGCTTTTATTGATAGTCTCTGAAGAAGTAGTTCTAACATAACAGTGTTCCTTAACAGCAGTTGTTTAAATACAGTTGCAAGACAAACTTTGCCTAACTTACCTACTAGTGCCTGGAATAAATTACAATTTTGGGGGGGGGGGGAAATGGGTGAGTTGAGTTCAATGAAAAAAACTGGGCAAATGGATATTGATTTTATGCATACCAATAGAATTAGACACAGAAAAATTAATACTTTAGTGACCAATATTGACTTTCCATAACAATTAGAAAAACCAATATTCAAATACATATTTTTAAAAATTGGTAATATACATATATACTCTCAATAACGTATGGATTTGTGCTGGGCTTTTAATGGAGTCATTTAGGGCAGTGGTCTGCAACCTTGGCAACTTTAAGACTTGTGGACTTCAACTCCCAGAGTTGAAGTCCACAGGTCTTAAAGTTGCCAAGGTTGGAGACCACTGATTTAGGGTACATCAACTGTTGCCCAAACTAGGTAACGCTACCCAACTTCAAGGTCTTGGATACCCTAGAAATACCTGATTAAGCATTCCTGATATAATACATCCAAAGGATTATTATTATTGCCTGCATGGCTGTTGGGTTGGACATGGAGTACTTGAATGATTTTCTCCTGTGAAAATGACCTGAAAGGGTGTTTTCTAAATAGAATATAAAAATATGTAAAAAGTTAAATATTCATCTGTTCTCCAGTCTTCTTCAAAGGATTCCCCTTTTGCATTCATGTGGCCTGGCAGACTCATTTAGGGAACATATATGTGTCCGCTAAATATGTGGTTTGTCTGTGTTTGAGAAAGAAATCTGCTTTGTTTGGCGCGTGTGGAATTTAAAAAGAAATTTCTTGAAATAAAATTCTGAAGGTTTTTTGCATTAATGGCGTGCAGGGTTGATTTTGTTTTCCTCTGCAAATATCTAATAACAAAACAAAAATAAATAAAAACTGAGCTTGTCCAATTTAAAGCTGGTGTTGAACATTATTTTCAGTCGTGTCTTTTGATTGGTTTGGTCTTACTTATTTTAACATGACAGTTATTCCTAGCATGATGTTTTCAGGAAGTTTGAAATTGCTAGTTTTAGATTACATTACACTTAAAAGAAACAAAACACAGAAAAAACTAACTTAACCATTTCTGAAAAAAATTCCTCTCACAAAAATTTGATAAATCTGCCTCGCATGTTTTGCAAGTTAACTTTTAATCATGTTTAGTGAAATTTTAAGATCACATAAGGAGTACTTCCTGTTTTACAAGTTGCACATGAAGATCAATTAAAACTCATCTTACTATTTAGGTTTAGCTCACTATGCCTTCTTTGTCAATTTACACAAGTATTCTCCAATAGTCCATTCAGATTGGTATTGGCAGTGGTGATAATGTATGTACAGCTGCTTTTGAGGTTTCCTTCCTTTCGTATTGGACGACAGAAAAGCTAATTGGATCCATGTATAGGACACTGCAGATTGAAGAGCTTTTGAATTCCAAGTTAAACATCAGAAATTGTTTCCTTTTCTTCTGCATAGGAAATAGAAACTGGGATGATACTATTGTTTTACTTTGGAACCGTTGGCCTTTAGGCCTCATGTAAGTTTCAGCAATTGCTATGATATGTTAGGAAAGGGTTTTTCTGGCATGCTAAGATTTTTTTTTCTAATTGAGAAGTGTATATTGTACCTATATAGAGAAATGTTATACTTGTTTCCAAGTATAACTTGGTTGATACATACAAAGTACACCTTTATGCACCTTTATTATTGTTACAAAAAAATCAAGGTGGCAAACATATCTAACACAACTTCTTCCTTCTGTTTTCCACAACACAACAACAATCCCATGAGATGGGTTGGGCTGAGAGAGAGGGACTGGCCCAAAGATGTTAGGCAAAATAATATCTAACATTCATGCTTTTGCATTCAGGTTCTGCTCTGTGGCTTTGCTTAAATATATTGCTGGCTAAAAAACTGAAATATCTTTTTAACCAGCAATATACTGAGGCATGAAGGCACAGTGGTTAGAATACAGTGTTGTAGTCTAACTCTCCCCACTGCCAAGAGTTTGATCCTGACTGGCTTAAGGTTGATCCATTCTTCTATCCTGAGATTGGTAAACTGAGGACCCAGATTTTTTTTTTGGGGGGGGGCAATATGCTGATTCTGTAAAGTGCTTAGAGAGTGCTGGAAAAGCATTATGAAGCGGTATATAAGTCTGTTGCTATTGCTAAAGCTGAAGTCTTTGTTCTCTCAGATTTTTCACTCAGAATCATAGACTATATTTAAATTGTTAACTCTAGACACTCTTCAGATTGGTAATTGACAGAATCATAGAAAGATGGTATAGTATGAACAAAGTCATTTTAGACAAAGCATTTTTAAAAGTCATCTAGAAATCTTTCTGTAACAACTGTAATAAACCCTCCTGAAAAACTGCAGTGTGAAGATCATATTTGGCAACACAATTCACCATTTTTCCTCTTCAATAAAGATTCACAGTTTTCAAATATATATTTCCTGGGGGAATGGGAATGTAGTTAGACAAGAAATGATGTCCATTGTTTATGTTATATCCTACCTATCATACAATAATCACTATTAGAAAGGAGTTTCTTGTTCTACATATACATAGCACAAGGAAAATACCTCAAGTTAAAAGGGCTCTAAAATATAAAGGAGTCTTTATTTCATAAGGCATCAGTGAAATTAATTTCACCTCTTTCAGTTCATGGAAATGTGCATTACAAAGAAGACCAAAATTTTATACACTAAACACTGAAGCAATAGAAAATGTTCAGGCAATCATGAAGCAATTTCCACACGTGGCCTTTTGTGACTTGAAGGACTAGTGGGATGCAAACAGTCAAAGGCTAAATTGCTACTTTCTGTATGGGTATCCATGGTGGTAACTTTCATGATGATGATGATAATCATCTTGATAACCTTCCTGATAACCTTGGTGATAACCATGGTAGCCATACTCTGCATATTCATCTTCTGGGCATCGCATGCCAAGTGACTGCTGAATGGCCATCTCCTGTCGTCTAAGTTGCATAGAGTCAATTAAATCATATACAATCACCATGGACCACATTGGGGAAGGATACCATGATTTGACATTCCCATCTTTGCCAACCAAAAGCATGGAAAAATATTCAGGACTAATCTGGAAATAATTGCGGATGTCTTTCACCAAATGAATGGGCACATCTTCCCTGTCCACACTGGAGCTCCCTAGAGAAGGTCAGAATTGGGGAAAATGTTAACATTTTCAGATCGGCAGATAAGTTGGTCTTGAAAGCATAGCATGTTTAATCAATTGTATATATTTTTTACTATTTAAGATAATTGCTATTTCTGAAACTGACCTGGAATTGGATTAGTTGTAGCAGAAATGCTTTTTGATGCTAGAAGGAATATTTCATAATCATATCATCAAAGAGAAAATCCAACTTTTTTAGTGTTTTGAAATAAAGACATTTTTCCAGCAGTCATTGCAATGCAATGGCTCTTTACCGTGTCTATTTTCCTACAGAGTCTCTACTGAGATAAGTAAATTTAGTGCAAAACAATCATACCATAGGTTTTTAAAATGCAAATTTTCCTAATACCATATATTTTTTCTTACTAATGTCCATTGTAATTTAAAAGGTTTGAGAACCTATTCCTAGGTACACAAATACGTATTCTCTGAAGAACAAAATTAGCAAACTATAGATTCAAATGTCCCAAAGGAGCTTTTTCAAGAGGCAACTGGACTTTCTGGTTTTTCTTTGATGACGTATCACTTCTCATCCAAGAAGCTTCTTCAGCTGAAGAAATTTCTTGGATGAGGGCAAAGTGTCTTCAGAGAAAAACCTGTGAGTCCAGTTCCCTCTCGAAAAAACACCTTTGGGATATTTTGCTTCTCATCCAAGAAGCTTCTTCAGCTGGATGACAGAGAATCTCCATAGACATATAGATTCAAATGATTTCAATAGGGTTTCCCCAGCAATCATGCGGGCAGTTAAATGCCCAATGCAGCTCTGGCCATAGGAAGTGACCCAAGCAGTTGACATGATTGTTTTAGTGGCATGTCTCTGTTGGATGAACTTAAATTTAAAGTCTATTTACCAAAATGCTGAACATCAAAAAAATGCCCAGAGCAGGGGTAGACAAAGATGTAAACTTAATTCTGAGTATTACAACCACCCTGCACAGCAGGGATGAAATCAACTTACCTTTGCTACCGGTTCGCAAATGTGAGCACGCATACCCGCTCACTTCACTCGCAAAACCTTCCGCACATGCGCAGAGCATCAAAAACAGGACATGATGACGTCCGGGTGGGTGGGTGGAGCCTCAGCAAGCGCTACTGATTCACCCGAAGCGGATAGAACCGGCTGAATTGCACCACTGCTGCACTGCATGTTATTCAGATAAATTTAACTCTTGATTTTCATGGGCAGAGCATGATGTCATGACTGAGACAGCATCTTGCTATCTTCAGGCCTGTGGACTCCGAGAATATAATAATCTCTGGTTTGTCCTCAGACCCTTGTGGGCAGCAGCCATATCCATTCAGGAAATGGAGCATAACAGATGAATCTGCAAGATTGTCTATGGTTCTCATGTAGAAGTGGTGATGCTGATAGTATTTAAAGAGCATGTGGTATAGGACTATGAAAAGTTCCAGAATTCACAATAATAGCTATAGTAACAAAACACGGTAGAAATTTAGCTGACATGTATGGAAGAAATTTAAAAAATCTGCTTTCCAAAATGTGTTTAGCAGAGTATTATCTGTTGTTTTGACTGGGAAACAAACAAAAAAACCCAAGCAAACATCTGACAAAAATCTAATAATACATATGTCTACAAAAAGTAATGGAAAAACAAAATGTCAATATGAACAGCAATAACATTGGGCTTCAGTTGGGGCTCACAACCCAAAGGCTTAGGGAAGGATAACACTACTATGCATTTATAAGAGGTTACTAATAATATTGTACTGCCTAGTCTCAAGATAATTCACTATTTCTAAATACAAACAAATAAATAATTGTTCAGCATAAAGCATACGTTTGTGTTTGGCAATTTAGGACAGTCAAAATCTGAA